GTCTGTCCGTCCTGGGAGAGGGATCCCTCCTCTGTTGCTCTCCCTGAGGTTTCTCCCATTTTTCCCTTTAAACTGTGGGTTTTCTCCGGAAGTTTTTCCTTGTACGATGTGAGGGTCTAAGGACAGAGGGTGTCGTATTGTCATACTGATATTTTGTACAAACTGTAAAGTCCACTGAGACAAATGTAACATTTGTGATATTGGGCTATATAAATAAACATTGATTGATTGATGGACATCGTGTCACAATACTTAACATTGGTAAGCCTAAAGAAGATTGTATACTACGGGTTGCCATAGCGACATCTTGTGTGCATTGCCATTAAAGCTGAATGAGTCAAAGTGTTACATAAATAAATGTACAATGCTGAGAAGTACAAGAAGTCCCTTACTTGATTTATTGGCTCCATTTATTGTATATGCAAACCCCAGCCAGTTGAACTACAATACAGTTTCCAAGTATTCAACAGAAATTCAGAACATATTAACCAGCTTTTATTTATCATCATAAAAACACCAACAGTCATTCACTCTTCAGACTCCAGCTTTCATCTGGTTGTTGGGTGGCAGGGCCTTGCCCAGGTGGATCCCCACGGTCAGTCCAAACTCCTTGGCAGCATGTTTCTCATGCACCTCAGGCTTCAGCTGGTAACCCTTCTCCCCATCAAAGCAGTCCAAGGGAGTGAAAGCAAGTGGGTTTTCTCCCAGGAGGCCTTGCATGCGCTGTGCGCCAGCCTCTCCAGCATGGTACCACGTGCCTCAGAGGGAACGTGAGACGGGGCCCAGAAGATCTGAGGAGCCAGAACCTGGAAGCCACAGTAGTGCAGGATACCATTCTGGAGAAAAGAAAAAAAAAAGGGTGTTGATGCACACAATAAATAAGTTTCCTCTGGAACAGCTTATTGATAATCATTAGTCGAAATAAAATACCTGCAGTGGCCAAAGAGTGACATTCATGTCTCCATTAATGCCATTTGCACTGAACATGGACTCCTGAGACCCAGTGGTGAAGGAGAGCATGGCCTTCTTGTCCTGTGGAAAAAGACAAGATCTACCGTAAGCAAGGAGAGATAGCTTAACAATAAGGCAAACCTCTTGATTTGCTTTGTTACCTTGAAGATTCCCTGGCTGTAGCGCTTCTCGTGGGTGAAGGCAAAGCCCAGTGTGAGCACCCGGTCCATCCAGCCCTTCATGATGGCAGGAACAGTGAACCAGTACATGGGGAACTGAGAAGTAGGGCTTAAGGTTAGTTCATAACAGAGGCATAGCTTAAAAGGATAACACATTTTCATTCTGGCTCTACCTGAAAAATGACGAGGTCAGCCTCAGTGAGTTTGCTTTGTTCTTCAGTGATATCAGCAGTAAGCTTTCCTGCCTCCCATGCCAGTTTGGTCTCCTCTCCGTAACAGAAGTGATCTGCATTCTTAACTTTTCCTGCAGGGAAAGTAAATGTTTACTGCGAGTCTGAAGACCAAAGCTAAACTATTTCTTTTCAGTGAGGTATTTACCAGTGATGTCCTCAGCTGTAGCAGTGGCCTTAAACTTCATGGCATACAGGTCAGATACTTCTACTGTGCAGCCCTTAGCAGTTAAAACTTCCACCGCAGCGTCTTTGGCTGCAGAGTTGAACGAGCCAGAGCTCTGGTGTGCATACACAATCAACACTTTCTTGGATGCTAAAACAACATTCAAATGAGAACACATCAGAAACATACCTATGAGATTCAATCTTAATTTGAACATGATCTATACACTCAAGCCCTCAGCAAATACAAGAACACAAAGTGAAAACCATACCCATTTTGAAGCAGGAAATTGTAAATGCTGGATTTTACAATTCGACTGTGTGTTGATGGAAAGAGTGGCTCATGCTAGAGCAAACTGAAGAAGCTGCTTTTATACTCCACACCACTCAACACACTGCCTTCTGGCTCATTCCTCACAGGTGCTGTCAATCAGCAATCAATGTCACTGACCAATCAGCTGGCAACTACCAGGACTCATCAATCTAATATCTAATCTACGTATTCACTGAATTTGGGCAGCATTTCAAATAGGGAGAGGAACTTTTCTACCACTAAAAGCCAAGTATGTGTACATTTTTAATACAGCTGCAGATTTAACCTGTTTTTAACACAGGATACACTAACAATAGTACTCTTGCAAAAACATTCTCATTTATTTTAATATTTGCTTTTTCCCCGGTTTAGCCAACCCAGAAAGAGAAACTGCGTAGGTTATTCTTTGTCTCCGTTTATGCGTCTAATACAGAGGCCATGCAGATCTGAAAGATCAGAACGAGGATACTATTCTAGAGATGGGACACCAATGTGCAGAGCTACAAAAGGCATTTTAAGAAGATGCATATTTGGAAAGTTATAGGCACCTAAGATCAAAGCATAATAGATTGGTGATGTGAGGATTAGATCAAAATGACAGGGTTAACAGAAATGAAGTGTTTGAAATGAAGGGTTACAGATTAATGTTGTCAAGTCTCCTGACCACAGAAGTTAACTTGAGAAACTTCCGTGAATAGTCAACTTGGTTCCAAGTTTAGCAATCAGTGAAATCTTTCCCTACAGGAATTTGATGGACATCGTGTCACAATACTTAACATTGGTAAGCCTAAAGAAGATTGTATACTACGGGTTGCCATAGCGACATCTTGTGTGCATTGCCATTAAAGCTGAATGAGTCAAAGTGTTACATAAATAAATGTACAATGCTGAGAAGTACAAGAAGTCCTTTACTTGATTTATTGGCTCCATTTATTGTATATGCAAACCCCAGCCAGTTGAACTACAATACAGTTTCCAAGTATTCATAACATATTAACCAGCTTTTATTTATCATCATAAAAACAACAGTCAGTCACTCTTCAGACTCCAGCTTTCATCTGGTTGTTGGGTGGCAGGGCCTTGCCCAGGTGGATACCCACGGTCAGTCCAAACTCCTTGGAGGCATGTTTCTCATGGACCTCAGGCTTCAGCTGGTAACCCTTCTCCCCATCAAAGCAGTCCAAGGGAGTGAAAGCAAGTGGGTTTTCTCCCAGGAGGCCTTGCATGCGCGTGCGCCAGCCCTCCAGCATGGTACCACGTGCCTCAGAGGGAACGTGAGACGGGGCCCAGAAGATCTGAGGAGCCAGAACCTGGAAGCCACAGTAGTGCAGGATACCATTCTGGAGAAAAAAAGAAAAAAAAAAGGGTGTTGATGCACACAATAAATAAGTTTCCTCTGGAACAGCTTTTTGATAATCATTCGTCGAAATAAAATACCTGCAGTGGCCAAAGAGTGACATTCATGTCTCCATTAATGCCATTTGCACTGAACATGGACTCCTGAGACCCAGTGGTGAAGGAGAGCATGGCCTTCTTGTCCTGTGGAAAAAGACAAGATATACTTTAAGTAAGCAGAGATAGCTTAACAATAAGGCAAACCACTTGATTTGCTTTGTTACCTTGAAGATTCCCTGGCTGTAGCGCTTCTCGTGGGTGAAGGCAAAGCCCAGTGTGAGCACCCGGTCCATCCAGCCCTTCATGATGGCAGGAACAGTGAACCAGTACATGGGGAACTGAGAAGTAGGGCTTAAGGTTAGTTCATAACAGAGGCATGGCTTAGAAGAATAAACACATTTTCATTCTGGCTCTACCTGAAAAATGACGAGGTCAGCCTCACTGAGTTTGCTGTTGTTCTTCAGTGATATCAGCAGTAAGCTTTCCTGCCTCCCATGCCAGTTTGGTCTCCTCTCCGTAACAGAAGTGATCTGCATTCTTAACTTTTCCTGCAGGGAAAGTAAATGTTTACTGCGAGTCTGAAGACCAAAGCTAAACTATTTCTTTTCAGTGAGGTATTTACCTGTGATGTCCTCAGCTGTAGCAGTGGCCTTAAACTTCATGGCATATAGGTCAGATACTTCTACTGTGCAGCCCTTAGCAGTTAAAACTTCCACCGCAGCGTCTTTGGCTGCAGAGTTGAACGAGCCAGAGCTCTGGTGTGCATACACAATCAACACTTTCTTGGATGCTAAAACAACATTCAAATGAGAACACATCAGAAACATACCTATGAGATTCAATCTTAATTTGAACATGATCTATACACTCAAGCCCTCAGCAAATACAAGAACACAAAGTGAAAACCATACCCATTTTGAAGCAGGAAATTGTAAATGCTGGATTTTACAATTCGACTGTGTGTTGATGGAAAGAGTGGCTCATGCTAGAGCAAACTGAAGAAGCTGCTTTTATACTCCACACCACTCAACACACTGCCTTCTGGCTCATTCCTCACAGGTGCTGTCAATCAGCAATCAATGTCACTGACCAATCAGCTGGCAACTACCAGGACTCATCAATCTAATATCTAATCTACGTATTCACTGAATTTGGGCAGCATTTCAAATAGGGAGAGGAACTTTTCTACCACTAAAAGCCAAGTATGTGTACATTTTTAATACAGCTGCAGATTTAACATGTTTTTAACACAGGATACACTTACAAAAACATTTTCTCATACATTTTAATATTTGCTTTTTCCCCGGTTTAGCCAACCCAGAAAGAGAAACTGCGTAGGTTATTCTTTGTCTCCGTTTATGCGTCTAATACAGAGGCCATGCAGATCTGAAAGATCAGAACGAGGATACTATTCTAGAGATGGGACACCAATGTGCAGAGCTACAAAAGGCATTTTAAGAAGATGCATATTTGGAAAGTTATAGGCACCTAAGATCAAAGCATAATAGTTTGGTGATGTGAGGATTAGATCAAAATGACAGGGTTAACAGAAATGAAGTGTTTGAAATGAAGGGTTACAGATTAATGTTGTCAAGTCTCCTGACCACAGAAGTTAACTTGAGAAACTTCCGTGAATAGTCAACTTGGTTCCAAGTTTAGCAATCAGTGAAATCTTTCCCTACAGGAATTTGATGGACATCGTGTCACAATACTTAACATTGGTAAGCCTAAAGAAGATTGTATACTACGGGTTGCCATAGCGACATCTTGTGTGCATTGCCATTAAAGCTGAATGAGTCAAAGTGTTACATAAATAAATGTACAATGCTGAGAAGTACAAGAAGTCCTTTACTTGATTTATTGGCTCCATTTATTGTATATGCAAACCCCAGCCCTTTGAACTACAATACAGTTACCAAGTATTCAACAGAAATTCAGAACATATTAACCAGCTTTTATTTATCATCATAAAAACACCAACAGTCATTCACTCTTCAGACTCCAGCTTTCATCTGGTTATTGGGTGGCAGGGCCTTGCCCAGGTGGATCCCCACGGTCAGTCCAAACTCCTTGGCGGCATGTTTCTCATGGACCTCAGGCTTCAGCTGGTAACCCTTCTCCCCATCAAAGCAGTCCAAGGGAGTGAAAGCAAGTGGGTGTTCTCCCAGGAGGCCTTGCATGCGCGTGCGCCAGCCCTCCAGCATGGTACCACGTGCCTCAGAGGGAACGTGAGACGGGGCCCAGAAGATCTGAGGAGCCAGAACCTGGAAGCCACAGTAGTGCAGGATACCATTCTGGAGAAAAAAAAGAAAAAAAAAGGGTGTTAACGCACACAATAAATAAGTTTCCTCTGGAACAGCTTTTTGATAATCATTCGTCGAAATAAAATACCTGCAGTGGCCAAAGAGTGACATTCATGTCTCCATTAATGCCATTTGCACTGAACATGGACTCCTGAGACCCAGTGGTGAAGGAGAGCATGGCCTTCTTGTCCTGTGGAAAAAGACAAGATCTACCGTAAGCAAGGAGATATAGCTTAACAATAAGGCAAACCTCTTGATTTGCTTTGTTACCTTGAAGATTCCCTGGCTGTAGCGCTTCTCGTGGGTGAAGGCAAAGCCCAGTGTGAGCACCCGGTCCATCCAGCCCTTCATGATGGCAGGAACAGTGAACCAGTACATGGGGAACTGAGAAGTAGGGCTTAAGGTTAGTTCATAACAGAGGCATGGATTAAAAGGATAACACATTTTCATTCTGGCTCTACCTGAAAAATGACAAGGTCAGCCTCAGTGAGTTTGCTTTGTTCTTCAGTGATATCAGCAGTAAGCTTTCCTGCCTCCCATGCCAGTTTGGTCTCCTCTCCGTAACAGAAGTGATCTGCATTCTTAACTTTTCCTGCAGGGAAGGTAATTATTTACCGCGAGTCTGAAGACCAATTTGAAAGCTAAACTATTTATTTTCAGTGAGGTATTTACCAGTGATGTCCTCAGCTGTAGCAGTGGCCTTAAACTTCATGGCATACAGGTCAGATACTTCTACTGTGCAGCCCTTAGCAGTTAAAACTTCCACCGCAGCGTCTTTGGCTGCAGAGTTGAACGAGCCAGAGCTCTGGTGTGCATACACAATCAACACTTTCTTTGATGCTAAATCAAGAACAAGAAATGAGAACACATTAGTATAGAAAGATACCTATGACATTCAATCTTAAATTTGAACATAATCTATACACTCAAGCCCTCAGTAAATACAAGAACACAAAGTGAAAAACATACCCATTTTGAAGAAGGAAATTGTAAATGCTGGATTTTACAATTCGACTGTGTGTTGATGGAAAGAGATGGGACACCAATGTGCAGAGCTACAAAAGGCATTTTAAGAAGATGCATATTTGGAAAGTTATAGGCACCTAAGATCAAAGCATAATAGATTGGTGATGTGAGGATTAGATCAAAATGACAGGGTTAACAGAAATGAAGTGTTTGAAATGAAGGGTTACAGATTAATGTTGTCAAGTCTCCTGACCACAGAAGTTAACTTGAGAAACTTCCGTGAATAGTCAACTTGGTTCCAAGTTTAGCAATCAGTGAAATCTTTCCCTACAGGAATTTGATGGACATCGTGTCACAATACTTAACATTGGTAAGCCTAAAGAAGATTGTATACTACGGGTTGCCATAGCGACATCTTGTGTGCATTGCCATTAAAGCTGAATGAGTCAAAGCGTTATATAAATAAATGTACAATGCTGAGAAGTACAAGAAGTCCTTTAATTGATTTATTGTATATGCAAACCCCAGCCAGTTGAACTACAATACAGTTTCCAAGTATTCATAACATATTAACCAGCTTTTATTTATCATCATAAAAACAACAGTCAGTCACTCTTCAGACTCCAGCTTTCATCTGGTTGTTGGGTGGCAGGGCCTTGCCCAGGTGGATCCCCACGGTCAGTCCAAACTCCTTGGTGGCATGTTTCTCATGGACGTCAGGCTTCAGCTGGTAACCCTTCTCCCCATCAAAGCAGTCCAAGGGAGTGAAAGCAAGTGGGTTTTCTCCCAGGAGGCCTTGCATGCGTGTGCGCCAGCCCTCCAGCATGGTACCACGTGCCTCAGAGGGAACGTGAGACGGGGCCCAGAAGATCTGAGGAGCCAGAACCTGGAAGCCACAGTAGTGCAGGATACCATTCTGGAGAAGAAAAAAAAAAAGGGTATTAATGCACACAATAAATAAGTTTCCTCTGGAACAGCTTTTTGATAATCATTGGTCAAAATAAAATACCTGCAGTGGCCAAAGAGTGACATTCATGTCTCCATTAATGCCATTTGCACTGAACATGGACTCCTGAGACCCAGTGGTGAAGGAGAGCATGGCCTTCTTGTCCTGTGGAAAAAGACAAGATCTACCGTAAGCAAGGAGAGATAGCTTAACAATAAGGCAAACCTCTTGATTTGCTTTGTTACCTTGAAGATTCCCTGGCTGTAGCGCTTCTCGTGGGTGAAGGCAAAGCCCAGTGTGAGCACCCGGTCCATCCAGCCCTTCATGATGGCAGGAACAGTGAACCAGTACATGGGGAACTGAGAAGTAGGGCTTAAGGTTAGTTCATAACAGAGGCATGGCTTAAAAGGATAACACATTTTCATTCTGGCTCTACCTGAAAAATGACGAGGTCAGCCTCAGTGAGTTTGCTTTGTTATTCAGTGATATCAGCAGTAAGCTTTCCTGCCTCCCATGCCAGTTTGGTCTCCTCTCCGTAACAGAAGTGATCTGCATAATTAACTTTTCCTGCAGGGAAAGTAAATATTTACTGCGAGTCTGAAGACCAATTTGAAAGCTAAACTATTTCTTTTCAGTGAGGTATTTACCAGTGATGTCCTCAGCTGTAGCAGTGGCCTTAAACTTCATGGCATACAGGTCAGATACTTCTACTGTGCAGCCCTTAGCAGTTAAAACTTCCACCGCAGCGTCTTTGGCTGCAGAGTTGAACGAGCCAGAGCTCTGGTGTGCATACACAATCAACACTTTCTTTGATGCTAAATCAAGAACAAGAAATGAGAACACATTAGTATAGAAAGATACCTATGACATTCAATCGTAAATTTGAACATAATCTATACACTCAAGCCATTAGAAAATACAAGAACACAAAGTGAAAACCATACCCATTTTGAAGAAGGAAATTGTAAATGCTGGATTTTACAATTCGACTGTGTGTTGATGGAAAGAGTGGCTCATGCTAGAGCAAACTGAAGAAGCTGCTTTTATACTCCACACCTCTCAACACACTGCCTTCCGGCTCATTTCTCACAGGTGCTGTCAATCAGCAATCAATGTCACTGACCAATCAGCTGGCAACTAACAGGACTCATCAATCTAGTATCTAATCTACATGTATTCACTGAATTTCAGCAGCATTTCAAATGGGGAGAAGAACTTTTCTACCACTAAAAGCCATGTAGGTGTACATTTTTAATACAGCTGCAGATTTAACCTGTTTTTAACACAGGATACACTTACAAAAACATTTTCTCATTCATTTTAATATTTGCTTTTTCCCCGGTTTAGCCAACCCAGAAAGAGAAACTGCGTAGGTTATTCTTTGTCTCCGTTTATGCGTCTAATACAGAGGCCATGCAGATCTGAAAGATCAGAACGAGGATACTATTCTAGAGATGGGACACCAATGTGCAGAGCTACAAAAGGCATTTTAAGAAGATGCATATTTGGAAAGTTATAGGCACCTAAGATCAAAGCATAATAGTTTGGTGATGTGAGGATTAGATCAAAATGACAGGGTTAACAGAAATGAAGGGTTAGAGATGAATGTTGTCAAGTCTCCTGACCACAGAAGTTAACTTGAGAAACTTCCGTGAATAGTCAACTTGGTTCCAAGTTTAGCAATCAGTGAAATCTTTCCCTACAGGAAATTGATGGACATCGTGTCACAATACTTAACATTGGTAAGCCTAAAGAAGATTGTATACTACGGGTTGCCATAGCGACATCTTGTGTGCATTGCCATTAAAGCTGAATGAGTCAAAGTGTTATATAAATAAATGTACAATGCTGAGAAGTACAAGAAGTCCTTTACTTGATTTATTGTATATGCAAACCCCAGCCAGTTGAACTACAATACAGTTTCCAAGTATTCATAACATATTAACCAGCTTTTATTTATCATCATAAAAACACCAACAGTCATTCACTCTTCAGACTCCAGCTTTCATCTGGTTGTTGGGTGGCAGGGCCTTGCCCAGGTGGATACCCACGGTCAGTCCAAACTCCTTGGCAGCATGTTTCTCATGCACCTCAGGCTTCAGCTGGTAACCCTTCTCCCCCTCAAAGCAGTCCAAGGGAGTGAAAGCAAGTGGGTTTTCTCCCAGGAGACATTACATTGCATTTAGCTGACGCTTTTATCCAAAGCGACTTACAATAAGTACATTCGACCAGGAAGACACAACCTTGAAGAAAACAGAATCATATAAATACATCAGGTTTCATAGAGCCAAACATTTCAAGTGCTACTCAACTGGCTTTAGGTAAGCCAGTCCTTTATTAGTATAAAAGTGCTTCGTTAATAGTTCTAACGCTCGAAGTGGAGTCGAAAGAGATGCGTTTTCAGTTTGCGCCGGAAGATGTGCAAGCTATCTGCCGTCCTGATGTCAATGGGGAGCTCATTCCACCATCTTGGAGCCAGGACAGCAAACCCACGTGTTTTCGCCGATGGGAACTTGGGTCCCCCTCGCAGCGAGGGCGCAACGAGTCGTTTGGCTGATGCAGCGCGTAGTGCACGCGCTGGGGTGTACGGTTTAACCATGTCCTGGATGTAGGAAGGGCCAGATCCATTCGCAGCATGGTAAGCAAGTACCAGTGTCTTGAAGTGGATTCTAGCAGTTACCGGAAGCCAGTGAAGGGAGCGGAGTGGTGTGGGAGAATTTAGGAAGGTTGAAGACCAGACAAGCCGCTGCATTCTGGATGAGCTGCAGAGGTCGGATGGCACATGCAGGTAGACCAGCCAGGAGGGAGTTGCAGTAGTCTAGGCGTGAGATGACGAGAGCCTGGACCAGAACCTGAGTCGCTTTCTGAGTCAGCTGGGGACGTAACTTCCTGATGTTGTAAAGCGTGTATCTGCAGCAACGGGTTGTAGCAGCGATGTTTGCAGTGAAGGACAGGTTGTTATCTAGGGTCACACCCAGATTCCTTGCAGTCTGAGTCGGGGAAACAACTGAGGTGCCGATGTTGATTGTTAGGTCAAGAGTGGGACAATCTTTTCCCGGGAGGAAGAGCAGCTCAGTCTTGTCAAGGTTGAGCTTGAGGTGGTGAGCAGACATCCACTGAGAGATGTCAGCTAGACAAGCAGAGATGCGTGCAACGACCTGGGTCTCTGAGCGGGGAAAGGACAGAATTAATTGGGTGTCATCAGCGTAGCAGTGGTAAGAAAAACCATGCGGGCTAATGACTGATCCGAGCGAGTTTGTGTACAGGGAGAAGAGGAGGGGACCAAGAACAGAGCCCTGAGGGACCCCCGTAGTTCATTGACAAGGGTCTGACTCAGACCCTCTCCAAGTCACCCTGTAGGTACGGTCTTTCAGGTATGAGGTGAGGAGGGAAAGTGCAGAGCCTGAAACTCCAAGTTTTTGGAGAGTGCGAAGGAGGATCTGATGATTCACCGTGTCGAATGCAGCAGACAGGTCCAATAGGATGATGACAGAGGAGAGGGATGCAGTTTTGGCAGTGTGCAGTTCCTCCGTGACAGCAATGAGAGCAGTTTCTGTGGAGTGACCTGCCTTGAAACCAGACTGGTGCGGATCCATAAGGTTGTTCTGATTGAGATAACAGGAGAGTTGTTTAAAGACAGCGCGTTCAAGTGATTTAGACAGGAACGGGAGGAGAGAGACAGGCCTGTAGTTTATAACATCAGACGGGTTGAGAGTGGGTTTCTTTAGGAGAGGGTTTACTCTTGCCTCCTTGAGACTGTTTGGAAAGTGACCAGAAGTTAGAGAAGTGTTGATGAAATGGGTGAGAAACGGTAGAATATCAGGAGCGATAGTCTGAAGGAGGTTTGAAGGGATAGGGTCCAGAGGACAGGTGGTAGGGCAGGCAGAGGTAATGAGGGTAAGAACCTCACTTGGAGAGAGCGGGGAAAAGGAGGTAAGTGTGTTGGTGGAAGGAGGGTCTGGTGACCCAGCGGTGAGTAAAGGTGAGTCAGAAAAAGAAGAGCGAATATCATCAACCTTTTTTTCAAAGTGGGTAACAAAGTCACTTGACAGAAGTGAGGAGGGGGGAGGAGCTTTTGGAGGGCCCAAGAGGGTGGAGAAGATGGAAAATAGTTTTTTAGGATTGGAA